ACGGGCAAATCATTCCAGTCAATTGCAACCAAATTTCGCCACCCCGGGCTGCACATTGCTGTCCATCCCAAGGCTGGACCCAAGAAAGGCACAATAAAAATATCTCCAAATAAAACTCTGTAATCTTTATTTATAAATGCTGCTGCATCACCAAAGATGCATGTTCTTATTACAGCTGCAATTATACGTTTTAACCATTCAATCCGTGTTTTAATACACTGCGTAGATTACAGAAACCTTTAGGAGAAACTCCACATTTTTAAAGGTGGAATATACCGTTTTTAGTAAAGGGTACAAAGAAAGTCAGTTTTATAAGCTTTATATGGTGATTGTAGCGAATGTCAGCCATACACTGATCAATTGTACTTGCAAAAATCGACTTGGTTTCTCTTTACTTCCGTTTACTTTGATACCACAGTATCTTAAAAGGTTTAATTGATCAATACAATGAAATCCACTCACCTTTGGCTTGTTCTCGTTGGCTTCCATAATTTCTAGATCTTTCCAGACCGTACGTCATGTGCGTGAAGCGTGGATGTTCGGTCTCAGTCTCTTTCGTCCGAGTCGGCAGTCAAATATCCCCACGTCGGCCCCACGTCGGGCAAAGAAATGTTCAAATATTCCCTTCCCCGGGAGAACACGATCGGTCAAATGCCCTACCCCAGGGTAGGTGCATAAGAGTACCAAGTGATATTCAGCTTTTATTCCTTACATAAAATCTGCCCACCATTACGTTGCAGTACGTTGAAGTGATAAGGCACGTATGTCTCCAAAGAGGATCTTGAATTGACTTATCTCTTTTGCCTAGGTGTACAGAATTTTTTAAATATAGATTTTAGCAAATAGAAACCTGTTTCAAGTTTTAGGCTAACCAGGCTCTTGTATTTAGGGGGTCTAACGTAACTAGCAAATTTCCGCTTAACAGATTCTTGAACCAGGTTCTCTGTCTCGCGGTTTCATACTGTATTGCCCCCATTTTGAAATTAAGTGTATGGCCTGTGCTTAACACAGGGCTAACAGTTTGGACATGACAGCACTGAAGATAAATTAGTAACACGACATGGTGGAATGAATGGCGAGTACTGATCATGAGTCAAACTGAGTTGAAGAACAAGAAATACTTTGGCCACCTTCTCGCCATTTTAAACCATGGCTAACATAAATAACTTGAACTACTTTCAAAAGAAGACATCACGTCTTTACCACCTTCGACGCACGTATAAGAAATGTAAAATGTAAAAATAAAAATGCCCTAGAAGTTTTAAATCCTCGAGATGTATTTCGCTCTTCGAGCCTCGTAAGTCAAGGCTCGAAGAGCGAAATATATTTCGAGGATTTAAAACTTCTAGAACATTTTTATTTTTACATTTTACATTTCTTATACGTGCGTCAAAGGTGGTAAAGACGTGATGTCTTCTTTTGAAAGTAGTTCAAGTTATTCGAACACATTCCTAGTCTCGGAATTTACAATTTCTCAATAACATCAACATAAAGTATTTATTCAAGATGGGGAAAATAAAAATTATAAAACATCTTGAAATGGAAAAACTGGAGGTTGACCCTATGACGTTTCCCTAAACAAAAAGATAAAAAAGATTAAAGCTATGTACATTATAAAATACATGAAATAGGACATTTAAAAACTATTTACAAAATATAAATTGGATCACTAATGATCAATAATAACAATAGATGAACAAGACGAAGAACTATTGTAGGTTCAAAGGGGAATAAACTATCAGGAATATGGCTACTTAGCCTGTTCCAGGCGTACGTTCAGATAGTCAGTGGACGGTGCAAGGAAAAGTGAGCCATTCTGCGCCAGACTCATGCACCGATCAGTTCAAAACTTCAATATCCCCCAGGGAAACCCCGGGCAAGCCCCGGGAATTTGACCAACACCTAAGTGTGCCAGGGGAGTTGGGAATTTGACCAATTTTGCCTACACTACCCAGAAAAACACACGCAAACAAGAGTAGATACAGGGGCCTGTAGGTATAGTGTTTTTCACTTAAGGATTAATGATTAAGAATATTAATAAATTTGTCAGTCTAACCGACTTTTTAAAAAACTAACCTAACGAAATTTACAGTCATTTGAGTGAAAAGGCGTCAAAAAGAAGGTTTCTTAAGCCCGAAAAGCTCCAAAATCACAGTAACAAAGGTAAAGGAAAGCAGAAAAAGAAAGAGTGAGGAGGAGGAAAGGCGGAGAAGAGAAAAAAAGCAATGGTTGCACTCTTAGTTTTCATGATAGCTACTTTGAAGAGTAATTTTTGGCCGAAAAAACTGTTGGACTCAAAAGATCCATTTGGCGATAACGTTTTAAAAAATCCGGCTAGATGTAAGTATGTATGTTTATATGTATGTATGTATGTGTGTATGTATGTATGTATTTGTGGTCTGAGGATCATTTACAGTCAGGGATCATTTGCGGTATTGTACAGATCAGTGTTCAGTACGGGCTCAGGGTGTTCCTAAACAGAGTAACACAGTAACGAGTAATCAGTGACCGAGTAACTAGCAAATACCTGTCATTTAGCTTCCTCCTACAACGATACAGTTACGCGAACTTTGAAAGGATTGATATGGGGTTCCACAAGCTCTGAAGAGCTGAAAATACACACAATGTAAAGTATAATATTTGATACCCCCCCCCATTGCTTTTTCTAAACTCCTCAACCTTGCTGTGCACTGACCCTCAAAAGTGTGACCAGTCGGTATGACTGCCCGCAAAAATTTGCTCGACGGTAGAAAGGAATCTTTAAAATTCATTATGCCACTGGACGTTTCATTCCAAAAAAGTGGTAAAGTCTAGTTTTTATGACAAGGGGGACCTTAAAATCTCTAAATCCAAGAAATCGGAACAGTATTTCGGTGATAAATTCGAAATTTTTATGTCTCTTCGATGAACACTTTGCTCGCCATTTTGAAAGTCACTAACGCGAGACGTGACGTCATACTGGCAGGCGGATTGAACCACCGATTTCCTTGGAGACACCTTCCCTCCCTGCATCGTCCTCAAGGTCATAAACTCGCCCGGGCATTTTGGGCGATAAGCGATCGTCTTGCGACTCTTCTTGAATGGTCTCTGAACTCCCCAAGTGCTTTACATCTCGATATACAACGTATGCACGGAGGAAGAATGAACCAGTTATTTTATAACATTATAAACGTGGCAGTCAATTTGTATAAATAGAAATTCACCATATCTTTGCTATGCTTCAATGCGTTGCTCATTTTAGCCTGAATGTCAGCCGTCTCCTCTAGTTTCTTTGCTAGACTCATTTTTGTTCAAGAAAAACACCTCTAGTACACAACATCAATCTCCTCTCAGATCGGTCAAATAACTGTCTTGTAAACACATGTGTAAAAATTGACTTTTATTAACTGATTAACAAAATTCTCTTATCTGCAAAAACAAAGATTTGCTGTTTGATTGGCTAATTTACAACAGGCTACATCCTCGCTTTCATCGTAATTCGACTACTTGTAAACAGTTCAAGGAAGGCATTGTCTTAAATATTTGTTTATAGCTCGTTACAAAAAAGAATATTTCAAACTGGTTTCATAGTAAGAATGTGTGTAACTTTTTCATCCCGATTATGGCACTTGGTGACAATGATAATGACGTCACTCCCAGTCCTTTATCACTTCTCCAGCAAAGTTGAAGGTAGTTTCGCGCCAAAAAAATTATTTTAAGCCGGCGGGTTGTTCTTCACTCACAGCATTGGGAAAAGCGGCAAAGGTAAGCTACAGACTTTCTTTTCTAATAGTTGCTGCGATGATTTTCTGCTTTGTTTTTGTCTTTTCAGTAGGAAAAGCTCTATCAGGTAACTAACTTAAAAAAAAGATCCTTTTCGCTGGCTCTCTAATACGGTTACGAGCCTCGATTTCTTTTATTGTTGATCTTCTTTGATTTAAAGCTGAAGTTGCTGTTATTTCCTCAAATCTTATACCGATACCGTCGTCATCGTAACATTCAGTTCGGAAGATGGAATCACTACCCAAAAGCTAAATAGAGTTGATTTTACAGACTGTTTAGTTTTTGGAACTATGGCAAAAACTCCTCCATACCGTTTTACTTTTAGTTTTTGCTGGTTTCCCTTTAAGAGCAACCATGAACAAGCATTTTTGAGAACGGATGTGACTAGGTGGTTGTCGATTTCAAACCATCATCAGCTGAACAAAATGAAAACCTCAACAGCAGGAGTACAGCTCTCAGGAACAGGGAAAAATTAACGATAGCATCAACAACGGTTCTTACCTTTATTACATCCACTTTGAAATCACTGGTTATCCGTGCAATCTGATTGGCTCTCAGCAGTGTGATTTATTCCTAAATCGCACCATTTTTTGCTCTAAATCGCATCTGTTCCAAATCGCATCATTCATGTTCTAAATCGCATCATTTCTGTTTTAAATCGCACCATTTTTGTTCTATATCGCATCATTTCTGTTTCGAATACAAAATGAGATGTAAAAGCCTTTTTGTTTCGGCTTTTTAAGAAACCGGCTACTCGATCAATAAAATATTAGTACTGACTAAATTCTGCGATTTCAAAATGGATGTAATAAAGTGGTAATTGAACTTCGTGTCGTGCAATTTTGGTCTGAAATCATACTTGTGATTTCAAATCGAACTCGCGCTGCGCGCTCGTTCAATTTTGAAATCACGCGTATGATTTCAGACCAAATTGCACTCCACTCAGTTCAATTACCATTATTTATCTGTCGAATGAGGGCGTCAGTGCTTGTAATTAAGATCTGAAGAAACGGAAAAACGGCAGCAACTCTTGCTTACTTAAACACACTGAAAGCAAAGAGACGATCAAAAATCCCCGGGAGGTACTCCTGGGAATTCCTAATGGGGTATGCCGCCCGGTTCTCCAAATCCTGACCCTATTTCAGACCAAATAATGTAATTTTCCACACCCGTTTTCAGACCAGACCTCTAAAATCCATACCCGTTTTCAGAGCTGGCCTTTAGGCAGAAATTAGAGCGCAAACAAAAAAATTCTTCAAATGCGTTTCGAATTCGCACATTTCTATTTCGTTCTTATTCATTTGAAATTGAAACGATAAATACCTTCACACACTCCTGAAGTTCAACCTCGAAAACCATACCCGATTCAAGACCAAAATGGGCAAAGTGTAGACCCGTTTTAAGACCAAAAAGGCCCAAAAACCATACCCTTTGGGGCGGTACATACCTATATGGCTTATTTAAGGGAGTTACCCCTCCCCCGGCAACAGTCAAAGCCGATCAAGGAATTGTCTGGGTCGTAACCGTGGTAGAGACAGTGGCAGCAGAGAGCCAAAATGATCATCCTTAAGTTACTTTACCTGATAGAGTACTTCCTTAAAAAAGTCAAATCATCGCTGCAATAATAAACAATTATTGGATGAGGAATAATCAAGGTCGAGGTGATTCGAAAGCCGAGGCTGATAACACTTGCCGAGACTTTGATTATTTAGGATATCACAAAAACCGAATCTAATAGTTGTGTTATTAGACATTGTTTTCAAGAAAATAGCGACAAACACGCTGTAGCAGAAAACCTAGATTGATATTGTTATTGGAAATCATGCATTGCGCGCGCATTCTACAGATTAGTCAGTTATCTGCTAGCAGACTGCTAACTAATCTGTAGGTTGCGCTGATTTCCAAAATTAGCTGTAGGGCTCTTAGCCAATGAGAAGGCATATAGTGAGTACAATGTATAATGATAATTATTACTAGCATCAAGCATGTTAACCAGCTTTTTAGCTTTAATAGAGTTTGGAAACCCATTATCATTTCAATTTAGTTTTAAGGAATGCCAAACTTTATCTTGGCTTGTCTCCTACTCGCAAATATCCCGCGGCATTGCACCGGAAATTTTAAGGGTTAGTCCTTATTTCATTTGGATAACCCTTCACACTCCGCTATGTGAGTGGGCTCTTTTTCAGTGGTGTTTTTTACCTTTTTACGCAAATCCAATTTAGTCCCTGATGTCGTGCATTCCATTTCTCAGCGCCCAAAGTTCCTTTGCGACCCGGCTTTGCGATCAGATTTAGGGTTTCATTCTCAGGGTGCGACGTTTCATATTCGAATCTGTCTCAATAAACTTGTTGCCCGCACCTCTCGTTGTTTGGTCTTGAGAACGCTTAATTTCTGCATTATGTATACTATTTCAGTATTTGTGCATGTAGTATATTATGATCTACTGCTGAAGCAAAGATCTTTCTACAATGTTTCATGTCCAAAAAAAAATTATCCCCACTACGTAATAATCACTGAATAATAATGCGAAAAAAAGGAGACCCTAACGAATTCTAATTAAACCCAATAAATTAAACCTAAGCATTACATGGTTAAACGTTCATTATGCACAACTGCGATCTTAATATTATTGTCTATACCAGGCCTTCTAAAACAGGGGCACCTGACAACTGTTTCCTGTAAAATATCAGTTCGGAGAAGCTAATATTGCCTAGAACTTAAAAATTCCTGTAGACGACCGTTCCATTCATGTACAATTTTCAAAGCTAATATCTAATAAATTCCCCACGATTAATTTTCTGAAGTTGAATTTTTCACATTTCTCACCCCAGGTAAGGTTATTTTTCGTAGGCGAAAGGAAACCTTAAATTTTCAGATTCAAAATGTGATGGAGAGAGGAATAAAAAAAATCTTCACTTTCGTGATGCGCTAAATTGCATCCAAAATTTTCTGGAAAATAATACTAAACCCCTTGCAATTTCGAAAAGACTTAAGTTCTCCTAGGATGGCCGAACCGCTGAGATACAAATTTTATTGTGCCCCTTAGGATGCATTTGTAAAGGTTTAAAGATACTCTGGATAGTCCAAGATGCTTTTGCATTGGGAGGAAAGCGTCGTTGGGTGCTCCTGCTAAAAGTCTGTTTGTTTTGTAAGTTTAGTGGTTTATTGTTGTTGTTTAAGTAAAGCAAAGCAAACTGATTTCGATGTTTTGTAAAGAAAAATTAAAAGGATATGAGATATTCAGGATAGCATTGGGTATCGTAAAAAACAACGAAAATGTTTGGGTTTGCTATGTTATCAACCACAGACTCGTACAAAATCTCTGGTCTGGAAGGGTTCTTCGGTGGAGGAACTATCATACTAGAACTGCCTTGGCAATATTTCCCGACTAGGACTCGGGCAAGGTAAACATAGTGAGCCCCAATCCCAGCATTCACGGCATATTTAACTGAGGAAGATGCATGTTTCGCAAAATACACACCACGTCCGTAGGCTGTTCCTGGAAGAGAAAATGGTAAATGAGTTATTATTAGTTACAGAGTTATAATAATGCTCTGCCTTCCTCTGTTCCAACAATGAGATATACATACCCGTCGTCAAAAGTACCAGGCGATGTTAACAATTGTACTGAAGAGTGGGTGTTTACCTCATCAACATGTACACGAACAAGGTTTGGAGAAAAAAATTATAGATACTTTTAAACAGTCAAAAACCAGCGGCGGGAATTTTTTTGAGTCCAAAGGTCAAATCTACCTGACGGACCATGTATTGATTAGCCAGGGATCACGCAAAACTCCTTTGCTCCCCTTGTGCACGTGAGTGGTCCTCAAAATTTCTCCCTTCGCCCTAAAAAAACCAGCGCCCCCTGTGCAGGCTGCAAATTTCACAATAACGTTACATTTTACTCGATCTGTAATGGAAGCGTCCTTCTAAGAAAATATGTTATCACATGAACATGGGCAAATTTGGAAGAAATAAAAAATTATAGACATTTTAACCAAGATGATTGGTTTTGCATCCGAAGAAAAAATTTCTAAGTCGTGAATTGAATTAGCCATTAGCTCGAGTTCTTCTCTTTCCTAGAGTTGTACTAACCATGTGCCCCACAAAAACTCCTATTGAATCCCTGTGCGTTTATTGCACGTATGTTTTTAGCATCGGTTCCATGGAACAGCTGTTGTTCGCTGTTTCCTCCATTGTCTTCATCCATCTTCTGCTTTCGCAATTTGTACTGCTTGTAAAGATGAGGATTCTGAATTCGCTCGATTTTCTGGATTTGCATTCTTCCACCCGTTGTTTGAAATTTGCTCGCGACATTTTGATACTCAGAGGAGCCTTGGTCGAGAGTCACAGTATGTACTGTCATATCATGGCTTGTCATTGGAGACCAGGTGTTTGGAAGAGAAATTCCTTTGGGAGAAAAAGTTACTTTTTAATGGTTTTACTTCGCTGAAAGAGTGAATAATTGATTTATGGCGTGCGCGTATCTCTGAATGGTAACTTAAAAATAGGAAAACAATTAACTCCAAATTGTAACTCGAAAAATGTCTCGTCCATGCTGAATTTTGCTGCGTGAACCTACAACTCTGGATGGTGCACTGATACTTTTGTGTCTAGCGAGTTTTAGAAGAGTCGCGGAGTCAAAAGGATTCAGCAGTGTGCACAGCTTGCTTAATGAAATGGGTTAAGACTGCTAACTCAGAACTATCCCACGAAAAACCATTCAACAGATCAGTATCTATTATATGGCTGAATCCGGGAGCGGGCAAGATGAAGCGAATCCTGCATCCTGATTGGCTACCCTAACGGTTCAAAATTAGCCCATTTTGCCCCGCTCGGGATTTCTCGCGTTGGTCCCGCAAGTAAAGGTTTTCTTTTTGGCCATATGAAAAATCCTTCATTGAACAAGTTGTTCGGTCAAGAAAAAAAAAAAAACAAAAAAAATTTCTCAGAAAAGAACTTGGCCAATATCAGCCATCTTGAACTAAGGCTTGGTCATTAACGCATATTCTCTAACCTTCTTCAGCTTCCTTGATCTTTCTGAAAAGTGTAATTATCTCACCATTCTGCATGCCGTGGCCAGTTTTATCTTTTAAATAGATGACAAAGTTATCTCCTTGTAAAGATATCTGTACTGTGGATTGTTCCTTGCTGTACGCCATCTCAAGCTTTCCATTTGTCTTCGGACTAAACACTTTTTTCTTGCCATGTATTTCACAACTCCATTGTATGTTTTTTGAAACCACTATCGCCTGCTTGTCCTCCTGTATCTTCTTGTTTTTCCTGTAAATGGTGTGCCATATCTTCCCGACCATGCCTGCCACTTTAAGTGGATCACCTCGCACAACTATGCAATCCATATCATCCTCAATCCTCAAAAGTCTGACGTCACGGCGTTGGGCTTTTCTTCTCAGATTGTTAAACTGCTTTTGCGTCAATTTACGGACGGTTTCATTTTTGACTTTTTGAGTAGTGCAAGCTTTGGAGAAACCTTTCTTCAAACTTTCGACAGCTTTTTTTACACTCCCCTCATCCTTTCCTGTCACAGAAATTTTCACAGAATAGTCGCCTATTGAACTCAAATTCGTTTCACTATTTCCTCTTATCTTAACAGCTTTACAAAAGGAATCAGTTTTCTGCTCGTTCGTATTTTGGACTACCGCCCGCTGTTGCGCTTGCCAAAAATCCGGAACCATTTGAGCTTGAAAGACCACGATCCGCAGATGGCGAACGTTTTTACAATTTTTGCTGAATGAATCCAGAGCTTTGAATGTTACTTGTGCTGAGTCTGACGCAGACAGGCTAAATCTACCAGTGCCAACGCTTGGTATTGAGACTGTTTGAAGATTGTTTTGATCTGCTAGGCGAAGCCCTTCCTCTAGACATGCCTGGAGGTGAATCTTATCTTGGAACCCTAAAAATAAGAATTCCAAAATCGATACAAAGAATTTTAAAAAATAAGATTATACTTACAATAAAATAGCTAGAGAGTTGGCAAAGATCAGTCATGAAACACTTTAGTTCTCAAAAGCTGCAAAAAATCTGAAAATTAAGGTCTGGTTTGTTTCAATTTGGGCAAATTATCCACTAAGAAAATGCAACAATTTCACTTAAAGCTAAAAAAGAAGAATTTCAGCTGACGAAAGACTTAAAAAGGGCTTTAATTGTGTATCAACAATTTATACATTGTGCATCAGGTCAACAACATCATATGGAACCAATACTTTCTTAATAAGACGACCGACTAAAGTACGTTTAACAAACCTGGAATAATGTGAATTACATGACGTACGGCCAGGTTTCCTCCAGCAGTCATTACCGCTCTCCCAGGTGTTTGCTTACCATGTTGACTGCATTCTTGTTGGATCTGTGGGCCGCCAGCTTTTAAGATGGCTTTGCTTAGTTCACCAGCGATACTCATGTTCATATCCCTGCTGATGATGTTTATAATGGCGTCTGTGTTTTCTTTTGTCAAATCCCCATATACAACTTGAATACTCAAACTCCTCTGTATACTAGAAGGCAGGACAGCCACGCCATGCTTGTGAATAGCTGTTATGACATGGCTCTCATTAGAATAGACAGGTTGTCTCTGTTGCTTTCGTTGAAATTCCTGAGGCAAAGGAGCTTTGTGCTTGGATTGTAAGGTAGCCATTTCCTGTGCAAAGGCGGAGATTAGAGCCTGATCTCGCTGGAACACCACAAAACGGATATCTTTCAGTATAGATGAAGTTTTAGTTTGACAAAAGGTGATTGCTTCTTCCAACATGATCTTGGAAGCGGCGTCTGGTGGAAAGTTGAGGTTTCCGGTGCCTATCACTGGAAATGCAATTGATGCCCCTCCAAGCTCGACAGCCCTTTGTAGACATTTTCGGACAATGCCCCGTAAGACCTAAAATAAAACTTAAAACGTGAATTCGTAGTGGTTGCAGGTTAAAAATAGACTAGGTTTTGTGCCCACAAACTGAAATCCCTCTCCTCAAAAGGTTGCTGGATAAAATTATCTTGGTTTTATCACTGAGCTGATGATTCTGCTACGCCTTTTACGGTCAATGCCGTTCAAATCGAGCTGGAACTTCGTAGAAACACCTAAATAAAGACCAGGTAACATTTGTGCCGTGAGACGTTTACCCGTGCGTTTGAGTCTATTTACATATTTGTAGTTTAACTTCTCACATGCACGAAAAATATTCTGGGATAAAGTAAGCTTGAAGGGTTTATCCGCTTATCAGTGCTGAGGTTGTTACAACTGTAATGCTTTATTCACGTCTTGTATATCTACGCGGGCCATTTTTGCATGATAAGTATCCTGCTCGCTGAAGCAAGCTAAGTTTAAAACATGTTGAACTGACCTACACGAACTTAAATCATGAGATGAAAAGTTTGCACAATGGCAAAAGATTCTGTCCGGTTCTCTGACATCAATAATCGAGCAAGTTGTGTCACGCAAGAAGCCAGGACTTTTTAACCTTTGAGGCTGGCATTTTTTTGAAGTTTGTAGTGACATGTTTATCTTTTTAAGAACACAGAACTTTTTACGATCTACTTTACATTTTTATCGACCATGCTTGATTGAGAGTAAGACATGTTAAGAGTAAAGAGCTAATGAGTGAGATATTTTGAAGCCGTATACGCGAGGAGCATTTTAGTTTAAGAAAAAAATGTTTACTTTTTAATTCATGATCTCTTCCCTATTTTGAAATAATGCTTGACGACACAAAAGCTAATCTGGAGCTAAGAAAATTCGAACGTACTCATTAATCTATGATTACTACTAGGAATTAAGTACCGATGTCTCCAAGTCGACTTACCTACCTTACTTGCCCAAGCGTACATAATTTTTTTATATAGATTTTAGAAAATAAGAACTTGATTCTAATTTTAGGCTTAACATTGAGGTTGTTGTATAGAGGGGGCATAACTGGCAAATTTCAACCTAACAGGTTCTTAAAAACCAGGGCCCAGTTGTTCGAAGGCCAATTAGCGCTTAACCTGGGGTTAAATTTAACCCGAGTTTCTCTTTCTTGTGTTCAAAAGCATTTTTTCGGATAATTTTTTCTGTTATATTTAGAGCTTTCAATCATCACCTTGTAGACAAAAAGAATTAAAACTGAAATTCTTTTTAAGCTTTCAATTCTGAATTCAAACCTGGCACTAACCCTGGGTTATCTTAACCCGGCTTTGAACAACTCGGCCCAGGTCCTTAGTCGCGGGCTTTTACTGCATAATAAAAAACTTACTATACCTGGTCCCCCGCACCACTATTCCACTTGGAACAGCTTGCATGGATCACGTGATTACAGGCCAGGTTATATCCAGGGGTAACTGCGATGTCACCAGCTTTTAGAGTTACCAAGTTTTGCCTCATTGCCTGCCCACCCGCATTGAAGATCGCCTGGGAGCATGCACCTTGTGAACTGACCAAAATGTTAGCCTGCAATTGAATAAAAAGAAGAATTACCTTCTATTAATATATCATTTGCGACTCAGTTTAGTATGCAGGATTCTTTGGACGCTTGATGCCAGCTCAGGTGGGTTGGGCTTTATCACGGTACGACGACGAAGCCAATACGAACGTAACTTTTATCTAAAATAGGCAGTCGATTGAGTCACAAAATAACATTTTTCTCTGTGATGGGTAACGCGTGCAAAATGGCAGAACCCAGATAAGAAAGGGATGATGAACCGTTCTTTTTCTCTTTTATAAATATGTTCCAAGTAGGGCTAGTTGTACGGTCTTACGTTATATGAGTCACTAATTGTCACAAACTTATGGTCATATAATGACGAGGAAATACGTTTAAAATACATTCTGGCTTTAACATTACTGCACCATTAGGTTCTGAAAATCTGTGCAAGGGTAAAAAAGGTAGAGGATATGGTTTTAAACACAAAAGTCAATGTAAACAGAAGGGAACAACGCACTATCGCGAGCTGCAGAAAAGGTGTTTTAGTGAGTTGATGACTGACGCTCCTTTTTTATAATCTTGGCGACTATTAGCAAACCGAGTCAAACGCCGTATTCATCCTCAACGACGCAACATCACCAGATGGAGATTTTTTTTTAGCGAAGCACAGATCGCACGGCTTTTTTCCTATGGGTGTGTTATTTTTAATACCTTTTAGAAGATAGCATTGAAATTAACAGACCTTCTGTGTCTCGATGTTCCCAGCTCTCCACGAAATTTTGTGACCACTGCCTGTGACAAGGGTGGAAGAATCAAGGCTGCTAACCGCACTCTTTATATCCCCTTCCTTCTCATCGCCAGCCTCACCGACATCATCATTATCATCATCATCATCATCATCATCATCATCATCATCATCATCATCATCACTGTCTTCGTCGTCGTCATCATTGATTATCTCACCTTGTTTCTGTACATGGATGACACATGCCTGATTCTTCTCCACAGAGCTCACAAGCAAGTCGCCGTTTCCGGTGGCAAAAAAATTTCGAAGGCCTGGCTGTTTCACGTTGAAAATCTCACATTCGGTACTATCTGCGAGAGCTTGCAGATTTCTTTTCGCTCGTTTTATCCCCTCTTTGTTTCCCTCAATGACAAATTCATCATCAACTCTTCCTGTTTGAATCTTGACCTCATAGTCCTTGAGTTGAACTTCAATTAAAGACAAGTTATCTTGACGAAGCTCAGAGAGATATTTTCGGACTAACTTTGAAGAACATTTGATTTGCTCTTCTCGTATACAGTTGTTATCTAGGAACGCAGTTAGCGTCTTAATTGTTTCACGGACATCTTCCCGAAACCCAGATACGTAGGTATCATTCCAGTTATTCCCATGAACTAGGACAGCTGAGCTGGCGTTGAGTTGCTCACAAAGTTGGTGCCATTCTGTGGTTTTCAATAGCTGGCGACCGTTGCCATCCACCAGAACTTTCTCCTCCAATGTCAACTTACTTACAAGACTAGCAGCCTTGACCGCGTGCGTAGCTGACGTGCCTATGATCCGAGCCTCGCTATCGATCACGAAAACAGCCTCCACGTCGTTTTTGTCTAATTTACATTTAACTTTCTCCAGCCCTTCATCTAAAGACAAAATTTTCAAAATGTTTTTTGACAGGCTTAATTTCTTCTCAACCATGTCCGAAATTTGTTCGTGGAATTTCTTGGTCACTTCCAAGAACAATGGTTGTGGGCCTTCAAAATAGATTTCCTCTGCTTCAGTGTCTAACTTTATCTCCAGTTCTTTGTTTTTTTCTTTAAGTTTTTCCACGAACCGGATCTTCTTTAACAAAGTTAAATGTTCCAAAGAAACCTTTTCTGTTTTCGTCACATACGTTTTTCTGGTTTCCTTCTGGTAGATTTCCTCTAATTTGGCTTTTAACTTCTCTCTGAAGTCTTCTGCATCTGAATCCAGGGACACAATTCTGATAACTAAAGAATCATCGATTATTTTAACCAGCGGAGGTTCAACTCCAAAACAAGCGCGGATACTTGGTAACTGAGCTTTCACGGCTTCCAAGAAAGCTTTGTTGACTTCAACGTCTTGCTTTTTAAGTTTGCCAAGCCATTTTTGTACTTCCTCTTTACATTCAGAAAACGCTGAGGCACTCTTATCCTCTCCGCGATACAATAGAACTGCTATTCTGCGGTTCATTTTCCAGTTAATTTCACTTTTCTTCGTAGCCAATACTACCTTAAGTTGATCATGAAGTGACGTTGTTGTGACGTATTCCATTACATCCGGGTCCACAACAATGTTTGCTTTGGGCCTAGACTGCTGGTTCAGTGATGTATTCTGGCTGTCGTCACAAGAAATTCCCACGTCACCCAAACTGGCAAATGCATGGTCCTCATCTTCAGGTGAATCACACAAAATTCTGACTGTCAGTTGAGCCTTGTTTAGGTCATGTGGTCTTTCATGCTGTCCATCTAAGACTCTTTGAACATCTATTATTGAAAAACAAGATTGAATTAATTCAACTTAAACCCTCTTTCTTCTACAAAACTACGAGGACATGCAAAAATTTTTGCTTTGATGTTCTAGAGAAATCTAGAATTCAAGTGAGCTCTAACCACGAGCTTCTTTGCTTGCGCAAATTAAAGGCATTATATTGTTTTTCTCCTTTTTTAATAATAAGGGGTAAAGGTGTATTCATGGAACGTTTGAATTCAGACCTGTAAAACCCTTATAAACACTGTTAGCTACAATAGCTCGACCATTTTTAGACTTAAAGAGCACTCTCTCCACAGGGCCGCCATTGTTCTTTGGACATTGAAAGTACAACTTAATGACATAATAAGTGGTATCATCTGAAATTCTGCTGACGAGAATTCTCTTGCATACGAAACTCGAGATCGAGGAAAACGCCCCACTGTAGGAAACCCAGTGGAATCTATATCTTCACCGGGTTCTCGGAGAAAAGATCACTGGGTTAGTTTATTTTCCACTGCGTTTTTCTTAGTTGTGTTCCATTCCCACAAAAGCGGAAACGGGTGGCAGGCGTTACCTCTTTACCGACATAAAAACTTTGAACACCTTTTACATATTGCTGCACCGAAAATAACTAAACAGTTTACTCTTATGCGATATTGATTACCTGTACCTTCCGTATTTTGTTTTTGCCGATGGTACATGTGTAATAATGTTTTGTATTTTTGCTTCTTTTAAACAAATATGAACGACTAAATACACTGGTCTTGTAAGTCGTGATAGAAAGCGACCAGGGAAGTAAAAAATCAGCTGAGTAGAAACAAACTATTCGCCCGGTATATATCGGGGAAGCTTAATTGTTACCTGGGTCGACCGAATTGAACCACTGGGTAGGGTTTCACTGGGTCTGTTACAAAGGGGTATTATTTAAAATTGTGACCTGAGTAGAGCCCATTTCCCTCGTCTCATCCTTCTACTTAATTTTACTTAAATCTGAAAAATACGGTAAAATAGAAGAAAAATATCTTGAATTGAAATTGACTGAACATTTGAATCGTTCTGTTGTCAAGCTGATGTCAAATGAAATAATTTTCCGTGAAATTGCGGATTATGGTTACTTTTGTGTAGAGTAACCAAAGAAAACAAAAGACGAAAAGGAGTAATGTATATGGAGCTGTAAAACGGCCTCAGTTCATTAAATTATTCAATTGTAATGATAATGGTGTGACAGTGAAAATAATTTCATCCATCAATAATTTAGTCCGGTAAAAATGACCCTCAAATTCAGTCTAAAGCACATTGAATGTTTGAGTAGCCGCAACAGATGATTATTTAACTTAAGTAAGTACCCCAAGCTATTCCTCACGGTTTTCAGAGAAAACTCTTACAGGGGACCAATATAAGACGCAACCAAACCCAAAGTTTACAACTTTGTCGTTTGTCGTCGACTCACACAGCCCACAAGTAAGTAAACTTACACTCTTCTCCTTCATTTGCTATTGTACAAGTACCTTTATGCTTTCCCTTTGACGGGCGTTGGGTTGATCCCATTCCTCCCTGGTGATGTCCTCTATTAAGGTTACTGCAAGACCCTCCTGAATTCCCTTGGCCACATTTGTTTGGACCGGCAATTTCTTCTTTATCACCTAAATCAAGATCGTCAAAGGACCTACATATTTCATTTATCTTATCTGCGAGATGCACTGGATGTTCATGTGTCCCGTCATGACCTTGACGAACCCTTCCTCGTCCGCGTCTGGGTTGATCTTTCCCTTGTCCTCTTTGAGTGAACGACGACTGGCTACGGACGTGGAAAAGGGGATCTCTTTCATGAAAGGTGCCTTCAGGTCCACGTGCTCTGTGGGTATGCGGGCTCTTCCTAGGATTGGGTGGCCTCGATTTTCCCCTCCAGTAACCGCGTCCCTGTTGACTCTGAAACATGTGGTTATCCAAAGGAAACCCGTGCGCCAGATTGTCGCTGTATTCTTGGTAATCTCCATGACCCTGGTCAAGCCTGCCTCCTAGTATCCGTGTTTCACGTCTACAGTTTTGGCCTCCTTGTATTGCATCACGATCTGGGAAGACCTGGTTTCCACACATTAGTTTGGGTTCATTTTCATCGAAACTATTTCTTCTGGACCGATGAACATTATTCTCCACTCCTCCATTTTCGTCCTGTGCTTCATTTTGATTTTCAATTTTCACTGGTATTTTTGTTACTTCGATCCTCCTTCTACTTTCCTGATAATTATGCAGCTCCGTTATTTCGATACTACCTTTCTTGTTTTCTGGCCTAGCCAATTCTTCTGGAGCGCCCCAGGCAATAGGTTGATTGTTTGTGGGAGGTTTGATACGGTCTTGTGAATTTTCCATGCCCTGAAATTCTTGTAACGTCTGTCGGGCTTTGTTTAAGTCTCCTTTAACATCATCGCGAGAAAGGACTCTTTTGATAAGAACTGTTGGTACACTGGAGAAAAGTTTTTCTAGCGTTTTTAGCTTTTTCTCCATGTTTTCAGGATTCTCCTCTTCTTCAGTTTTTCTGGAAGAAGCCGTATCCATCGTAAATTTGTCCTGCTCCTCGTCGTTGTGTCTCCCTACTTTTACACATACGTTATCCTCTACGTCTACAAAGTGTCTGTTATCAAAATCCTCTTCTTCGTGGCCCCAACTCTCCTCTTTGTCTTTTTCTTCGTAAAAACTTTTGCCTTCTGTAAGGTGAAAAACAATGCACATAATATAGTGAAGTCTTCTGCATTTCCCCAAATTCTTAAACTGACTCGAATTATTATGAATACCTAAATGGGGCCCGTATTTTGGGGACAACGCAATTAAACCCCAGTTTGAAAGAATATCCTCAAAGCAATTAATTTTTTGCGACCGAAATACCCCCCTCCTCCCCCCGACATGCCAATACCATTAATCTTTTTGCATCGGCCGTGAGTAAGTTGAAATTGCCTTGACACCTTTGGGCCACCGTAAATTAAAGAGTAAAATAGACGCCATGTCTTTTGGTAATAAGCCATCCTTGTCATTGAGGAGTGCCTTAAATCATGAAATTTAATTTACCCTCTACTCTATAGTATTTGAGGGCACACGAAATTCACTGGGGCCTGAAGCAAACAACAGAAACAAGTACTAAATTCAAGAATAACCTAAGAATGCCAACACGACAAGAGCAATCCAGTTAATTACAAGCGTGGCAGAGACGTTAAACGCTGAATTGCCAATTTCAGTGCTGAATCTGGCCGCTTTGTCAATGCGCCTACCAAGCCCCTCCCTCTTCCTCAGTTAAGGGACGAAAGTAAGTAAACTTCTACTTTTTTCACATTTTCCTTTCAAACCAAAATCAAAATTCATAACAACATAGCGAGAGTTTTTTTTTATTCAGTGAGGATTGAAAATAGGGTTACAGGGGCTTTCTCCATAACTTCCTAGAGACAATCTTCAGAGTCCTGGTGCCAGAGGGGCTGGCAGCGAGGTCTGAAACCGAGTTTACATGATCCGCCCCACTTAAGAAATTTGGCCGAGTGAGACTGAGTACCAATTTTCCTTCAAAACAAATATGGCGGAGAATGCGGACATGGAAAGATGATGAGTTTTTGCTCGGTTTTACGTTCTACGGCGTCCAAACATCAAGAAAAGGTTTTCATGAACTTTTTTCATGAAATTTTTGGACATCAGGAGGCGTGATGTATGAACAGTTCATGAGTGACTTCGCTCATCGTGATTCGGCACCTTGGCAAGTCCAGTTATTTATACGCTGTGGACACGCGTGAAAAACGCAGTGCGCATGCGTGCCTTCCCTGCTTCCGGCGCGAATTTGCCTGTGCCTCCCCCATCGAAATTATACGCGATACCAAAACAAACTAGATTCCGGCCTTGAAATTAAAAAAAGTAAGCTCCACACACAAAAGATAAGCTTAGAATTTCACGAACACAAAGTTTATTAATTGCTTTAGTTTCTCTCTTTTGCACCACATACTTTCCTCCTTGCACCAAAGGCGAAAATTACGTTTGAAAGTCCACGCTCGCTCTGGCAGCACTTCGCCGTAGCCATTGTTGCTGTTTTGGTCATCATGTCGCTGAGCTCGGTCAATGCGAACAACGAAAACGACCAAAGCATGCTAAGTGGAAAAACAAGGACGGAAAAACCTTGTACTGGACGACTTTACCAGCTGTCTGAAGCTCTCAGCCGTGTTGTTGGTTTGCCGGTAAACTCCCATGTTTGCCGGTGACATTGGGATGAGTTGCGAAGAAAGGACGTGCGCTGCTCCTGTCCAACACACGACAGGAAAACCCCTTCTCGCCTGGATTCAAAGCCAATTCCTCGCAGATTTTACCCAATATTTGACGAGATTGGCTCTCAAACGACAGCATATCGCCCGGGCACACGGTGGTGTTATCACTGCAAAGCACGAGCTAATAAAAAGTTCTCGAGTCATCCTGAGTTTACTGTCAAACCACGAAAAAAGCCAGTCGAGGTAAGTTAGTTTAAGTAATTTTTTGTTGTGCTTAATACTAGAACCGGCTGAAAACCATTAAACATATCAAACATTCCTAAGTGTTTTTCAATTTAAATGGGGAAGATTTTGCAAATTTTAATTATTGAAAATAGAGACCTTGCGCATGCGCAGACGTTTTGCACGCGTGTCTGCGCTGTGGCTATATGGCCGGTAACCGGTCAAGGTTCTCAAAATACTAAGTGGCCGGCAGTTCTATATTCTCAGTAAATTTCACAAAATCGAAAATCTAAACTATCATATGTCGATTTAGGAACGTCAAGCGATCCTGAAATGCTTTACAGATCTCAAGTCTAGTGTTTGGTTTGCGCTTTGCTTAGAGGAGGAAATCATGTTTTGTGACACTTAGAAATTTTTTCAGCTCGACTGCCGGTCAAGGTTTTCAAAACACTAAATGGCCGGCAGTTCTATATTCTCAGTAAATTTCACAAAATCGAAAGATTCCAGCTAATGTAAACTATCATATGTCGATTAAGAAAAGTCAAGCGATCCTGAGATGCTTTACAGATGTCAAGTCTTGTGTTTGGTTTACGCTGAGCCATGTTTTGTGACACTTTTCAGCTCGACTGCCGGTCAAGGTTTTCAAAACACTAAATGACCGGCAGTTCTATATTCTCAGTAAATTTCACAAAATTGAAATAGTTTAGATTAGCTGGAACCTTTCGAAATTACATGCAACGGTATGGCAAAAACTGATCACAGTGGCCAAAGGAAAGGCAAAAATAGAAATGTGACCATTTTCCTGACTTTATAAATTCCCTTTGAGCCACATATGGTCCTTGTCAAAACATGCAAACTTGAACATTTATTTTCTGAACCTAGCTAATCACCATAATCTTGTTCCAAGGGCTAGTGTAGTTTTTGGAATTTATAGTGTAATAACTGCTGTCATGAAAAGAGAATTCCAAACACACAAGATAATTACCCTTTCATCTGCCTAGGATTCATTTGTTAGAAACGACGGTAAAGTTTAAATTAAATCGCCCGAAGGAAAGAACTTAAGCATATCAACATGTGCAAAATCAAGAGAGAATGATCTCTTGGCAAAATTTATTTAGCTTCTAGTACATAAAGAAATACATGAACTACGAGATTTGACCATGCCACTCAATCATCCAACGCAGCTCTGCCAGGATAAGTTCACAATCAAGGATGTAGAACTGAGAATCTCAATCATCATTTCTTGTCTTCTTAAAGGTGCAGTGAAGCCGTAAACAGCTCTCAGCTGAACTCTGACAACTCTTCTACTCAACCACATGCCAGTTTTCCCAACCCGTTCCGCGCATGCTCGCTACAGTTTTCGGATGATTGACAGATTTCTTAACTGGGGCGATCGTAGAAAGCCGAAAAGCGGCAAGATCAAAGGCCGTTGCCAGCCCCCCTGCCTGGTGCGTAGTCAACTATAAATGTTCAAAATGAATGTATTCACGCTCGACTGAGAATTTGTTCAAGCAAACGTGCGTGGTGACAAAATGGTTTTATTGCATAATGAGATTCATGAATTAAAGTATTCTTGGAGCTATAATGACTATGAAGGCATTAAACTAAAGTAAATACGAACTCTGGATTGAATGTTTGCACCAGACTCTACATGACTCCCCTCTCCACATCGTAAAAATTCAAAAGTTTTGATTTTTGCAGAAATGCAGTGTACATAAGACTAAGTGAACAATTTGCTCGCTTTAATCTCTCAAACTTGATTATTGCGGAGTCACATTATATGACCTCATAAAATGACCTATGCGCAGTAAAATCCCAAGTGTTAGGAACTTTAAACAATAACGAATCCGCAACAGAAAAACTGAAACAATACTGAAAGTCTTACTTCCTCATCTTTTACAATGTAACTATATTGGCATTATTTTGTGTATATTGTAAAGAATCGTTTGGTCAAATTTTTGGCCTTTTTTACCCCTTTCCAACTCCTCATGTCAACGCGTGTCAGTTTAATTCAATTTTATTATGTTTCCCTGTGTTGGTTTTTATCTTTCAGTGAAAAGTAAATCTGCTCAACTTAGAAACTGTCTAGATCTGTACGTTCAATATAATGCTAAAAAGTTACACATCGATACACATGATTGAAAACGGACGTAGATATTATAATTGTCGGGGCTCAGAAACGAATATCACAAAATGCTTCAGCCAATTTCAAAACTGCAGCATATGTCTAAAAAAAAGGAAACGTGAGCTTAAATTAGATTTGGGTGAAAGCGACAAACGAAAGCCGTAATACGTAGAATTTTTCAGTAATACTCCATGACTTGACTGGGTTATGAGAATAAGTTGATGTTCCTCTTTACCAACTTGCAAGGAAACCTGATTTATTACAAAACTTTAATTGACAGTACGTAATATTTAAAGACCTCGCGACACGAATTTGACTAACTGACCAAATTCATCTCTATCCATTTCTTATTTTTTGTGGAACAGCTGGTAAATTAAAGCAGTCCTGTACAGTAGAGGTATAAACCGTCTGGTCACTAGAATAACTTAATGACGACTGCCTGCCATCATAGAAGTCACTTCACGTGCGCGCGAAGGTAATTAAGGCGAACAAGTCATTATTCGTATTAGGATCTTTACGTAAGGAAGGAATGTCCCAGGAGGAAGTAGATCACCTTTTTAACCCAATAGTTTTACCAAATTTTTCTTACGCTCTGCCGGTTTATGGTGCCTCAGATTCCGACCTTTCTGTAATACAGAATTTTTTAGACCGGTGTATGAAAAGAAAGTTTATGTCCAAGAATGTAAATATCAGGGACTTGCTAGAGAAGGCGGACAAGACACTCTACAAAAAAAGATCGAATGACCCCGAATGTCCGTTCTTCCAGTTTTTACCTAGGGAAAAGAACACGAGGTACAATCTTAGAAATACGTCAGTCTCTGTTCCTAGAATCTACACTGACAGGTTTAAGAACGTTTTTAGTAACAGAATAATTTTTAGATATGATATGCAAACAGTTTTTTGAGTTTATATTGTAACTTAGG